GGGGCAAGGTACGACTGGGATCAACCATTTCCCTACCATTCTAACACCCGAGATACCAACTCGAGTCAGATTTGAAGTCTGCGAAACTAGGAGGCTGCAACCGGTCTGAATTCAAACTTTCCATAATTGAGGCATAACTAGATAATCTGTTTGACTAAAAGCCATCCGATGTGGCTCGTTGGATCACGGGTGCACAAATCACTAATTTCAAGAAGAGTTGTACTAAGATCAATCTTAAATACTTCAAACCATTCGCTTAATTGATAACTTAGTTATCTACAGTGTTTTCCTCAGTATGGTCGGGGGTGGGTGTCTAGGATTGATGCTGGTCACCCTTCCGTTGCACCTCGCGACATGCTTTCAAACAACCAAGCGTCTCAAATAGCCTCGGCTGAGGAAGCCCTACTTACTGCCTTCTCGTGACGGCGGTGTTTTCCCACCAAAGTGAGAGGACGAATAGCCGACATTCGGGGCTATAAACGGGTTGGTGGGTTACTGGCAGCTCATCTAGGGGAGTTGGCCAAAAACCTTGATTCCAAACCAACCAACAGGAGGCGTACGACCCACACACACCTTCCCGGTTGTGGCAGTAACCACCGGTTCGTTTTTGCATTGAGGTGTACTGAGCACCTTGGACGTTTGATTCCGTCCAAACGGCGTACGATCCGATAAACTGGACACCAACCCTCAATGGATTGCGGTCTTCACAGCACCCCGCTGCCTTGCGGATCAGGCTTTAGCTAGCCAAAGGCTCCGGTTGTGGATTCGTCAAGAAAATGCACCTGCAATGGCAACCTGCAGTATTTGGCCCATATGCAAATCGTGGAACGCTTTTTTTATAAAGACTACTGTACCATGATTTGTTTGACACACAGTCTGGCCTCCGAAGGGTGTGAAATATAATATCTTTTACAAACGTGATTTATCTGGACACGTGCGGCTGCAACGAAGCGCACGCAACAGCTGCTTTTAAAGAACGGTCTTTAGCACAGTTAGTGGCCTACTGGGCATGGGAATCTCTTCACTGTTTTCCGCTCTGGACTCTAATCAGTCTCACTGACAATACCAAATAATGACTTGGTTTCTTTCAAGATAGACAGTTTGTTTTATCTCCAACTGTACACGCTGATCATGCTCAATTGCGAGACGAATTCTTTGTAGGCTTGATACATAATTGCAATGCAACCTGCTCGGCGTAACGTATTGCTGCAAATCCTCCTTATGACAAGAAATGTGTTTACGGTTTTATATATACGTCACAATAACCTTGTTTGCAAACACCGGGTAACCATTGGATAGACAGCTCTTTCCGAACCAGTCCAATGAAGAATCAATGCTATTGTAAGTGGGTCAGATGCTACTAACCGCAACAAACGTGACCTGACGGTCTTAGAATATTTCATAATAAGTAGTATATGAATGACTGGACAAAATTTCCCTGGAAGCATATATATATATATATATAT